CCGTATTCCTGCCTTTCTCAGTACTCTCAAGCTGCCTCGTGGAGAAGGATCTGGTCAAACGCTCTCAACAGCGTGATGAGCGACTCTCTTCTAACGGCCACCATTCCAGTCGGTACATCCACCCTCTCACTCGCCACCATCCGATATGGAGGTTCTCGATAGGACGACTTGAGGATACTGTCATAATGTGAAGCTGGAAGCTGAACCGTGTTGATGGCGGCACTACTAGCCAATGAGCCCAGTGAAGCCGAGAGAGACGTGGATAGTGCCAGCCGAGAATCACTTTCTTGGTCAATGGGCTCGGCTTCTTCCATGAATCGTGTCATCTTGACCTACCACCAAAAAGAATTAGCTACGATCAACCTCGGTGTTTTGAACTCACGGGTGGTTGTGTCTCTACTGGGGGAGTGGACTTGTAGGACGGCAAGAGGTGACTGCTCTCATTGGGCAAGCCACCTCTGAGCGTCCGCGACACCCCTTCATCACCCTCTACAGCCCCTTCAAACCACCTCCACGTACTAGCCTCGACCTTCTTTCTATCTTCTTCCTGCACCACGTCTTCCTCGACGACAGCTGGGACGTCGGTAGGCGCTTGAACCTCGTCGTCTAACACACACTCTTCCTCTCCAAACAGCTCTCCCCACACGGTTTCCAAGTCACTTTGCTCTTTCTGAGCCGCTTGGATCTTTGCGGTTGCAGCTCTCATCTTGTCTTGAAGAGCCGCCTTGAGTTGTTGGCGCAAAAAGGCTTGTTGGCGTTCTGTCTCCTTTAGCGAGTCGAACAGTGCCGAAACAGGATCACGATTGTCCTCTTCTACCCTTTGACTGGCGTGCATTATGGGTTCAAATTTAAAGATGGAAAGACTGGATTTGGATAGTTGGACAAGGGAGTGAGAGGGTGTGAGATGTGTTCATGTCAGGCTCAGTTTTAGTTGCCACAAGCTTTGGTTGTGTTGGTTGGCAGAAGCACCAAGAATGGGGACCTGAGTGGCGGCGCGGATCCAGGCCGCAGGATGACGTTCGGATAGACGGGCGTCTGGTCACACATTGTCCAATAAATTACGTACACGTATTACATAGTAGTACAGTGATGGAATGAGGTTATCATGTATGGTGGATTTTCGTGCAGAGAGCCAAGAGGTCAGGCTCTGGGTGTGCCGCCTACCTCATTCCTCGTGGAAACGGGCACGAGTGACCCGTGACTTGAGAGAATGGGCTCAATAATTGCCATATTTCACTTCCAGTCACCTTTGCAAATGGGAATATTCACCGGCAGGGTTTTGAGGATTGCGTCCAAGGTGGAAGAGAGCTCTCGACGTCGTTGCTCCACCTCGTCCTCATCTACAACTTGAGTGGTAAACACCTTTGGCTCGTTGTGGGGATTGTTCCATATGCAGCTCCCTTGGATGTCGCTGGTGACCAACGAGTCGCAGCTCCCACCGACCAACCAACAGAAACCGGCAGTGTTAAAGATACACCGTTGTACCGTGAGCTCACGTAGATGAAAGATAGGTGGATCGTCGATGGTGATTAGAGGTTGGAATCGGACGCCTTTGAGGATGAGGGATTCGAGGTTGGGCAGGGACCTCAGGATATTGGGCAACTCGAGCGAGTTAATTCGACGAGTCATCCTAGATAGGGTAGTTTCTGACGTCGAACACCCTGTGAGTTCTAATCGGCAAACTCCCCTGAGCCATCCCTTTTGCGCGGCTAGTGCCAGACCTTCTTCGCCGAGCAACCCATCCGTGTTCCAGCCCAACCCAAAGATCTCTATATCCTCCAAGTTGGGAAAGAGGTCCCAGATGGGCCAGGTCGGGGTGCCCATGATGAACCTGTCGCCTCCTCCCACGACGATGAGCTTTTTGACCCACTGTCGGCCATGTCCACCCGCCAACAAAGGGGCGCGTTCAAACCATATATCCCTATGGCATGTCCGTAGTACTATGGTGTGCAAGAGTGCTCGTTGGGCTGGTTGGTACCATGCGCGAGAGACGAGACAGCACGAGAGGAGTGTGGGATTTTGGTGTCGCTGCACGCTAATGTCTTGGAGAAAGGAGGATAGTGGGAGGAACTTTGGTGGGTTGTCGAGGGGGAACTGGCTGATGTGGTGTAGGATTTGGCAGAGGATGTCGTAGTTGTCGAGTGCGTTGGGTGAGCACGTCTTGGTGCAGCGTTGAGGGAGATTAGAGAGTTCAGTTCCTATGACCATGGTGGAGGAGTAAAAGTAGATACTGACCTGGTCTCCCACTTTATACCAAATGAGAGGCCGGCCGGCCCCACCGAGTGATCCTAGTTGGTTCGCGCGATCCAACCGTGGGCTATACGCTCGACTGGCGCTAGGACTCGTCGCCATCATCGGGGATCCATTCACTCCAGCGGCTATCATATGGTCAAGTTGACCACAGTCGTATTATGTAATCGGATATGTTGAAAGCATCAAAGGCACTTTAGGAAATTCAACATCCTTTCCAACTGGTCAACAAACAAGATGATTAGAGCAGAAGGGCTGCATACTCGATAGGTGCTTGCCAACAACGATGGCACTCTTGAATCGCAAAACATTCAAGCAAACTATAGAGCAGCACAAGCTCCCATAATGCGATTTTTAAGAATATTTTGAGAATATATGACAACTCGA